TCGACAAGGTATGTCATCATCAGGTATTTTTTTTACCTGATGATGACAAAACCTTGTAGATTTGCTGTTATGTTAAACTTATATTAAAGGTTTTCTTCATTACCCATTCAAGCCGCCTCTAATTGTTATTAGTCTCAAAGTGGGTTCCTCCTCATCAAACTAGTGCAATAGTAATAGAGAAGATAGCACTAAGGTAAGTATTTGGTTTTCTCACAGGAAGGGTCCATCATTATGTCCAGAGAGAAATCACCTGTTTTTCTTGTTGATGAACCATGTAATGGCTGTGGGCAACCATGCCATTTGCAAGCATACACCCAATATTTGGTATGCCAAGTGCAAATTTTGGTCTTTTTTATGTACTAATATACCGAAGGTCATTTAAGGCTAAATGAATAATTTTCTGTGTGTTTTCAACAAGTTCAACTTATTCAGTGGAACCCATTTACGTTTCCACTGAGTTGTCTTTCTGTTTAATATTCACTTTCATGAGAGTTTTTAAAAGTTTCATCTTAAGAAAACTCGCTGTATTTTTCTCATTTGTGTTCATCATGGATTTAGACAGATTTCAGTTTCTGATGGTGCTGGAGTCAGTCTATTAAAATAAAGTAAGTTAACTTGTTGGGGTTATTTTTAATATTCTGCTTTAGTTTAAGTTATGGGAGGTGGCCACATGAGCTGTGAAATAGCTCATTTTCATTAGTCTATTTGTTCTTGTTAGTGCAACACATATCACAAAGATCATTTACCCTAATTGCATTATTTTGCTTTGTGAATAACCATTTGTGTTGATTTATAGCATTGTGCCATCTTTCCTCATGATTCCCTAATACTTTTGCACCTTAGAGAGAAATGAACTTTAATACCCAATAGCTGAGAAACCCCATGAGTGAACCTATCCATCTACTTTGAGATAAATCCATGATCCAGAAAATATCACAACAGTTTGCAAGAAGGTTGGTTGGATCTGGAAGAAGTCCACAAACTCAGGACAATGAGCGAGGACTCCAAGTTACTTACTGTCCACAGTGGGAGATGGGAGAAAG